GAAGAAACGACTCATATGTACGTAGTTTAGGCACGGATGCAGGGGCAGGGTGAACACGAGAATGACCATTGCGTTTAGCAATAACCTGTCCTGGAAGCTCGCACCGAGTGAGTGAATTAGATTGCCATGCCACTTCACGAGTACCACAATAGTAGTACTAATATGCGGTGTTCACTGGTCTAGCTCGAATAAGACAGATCACGTAGGGTTCGCAACGTATGCCGAACGCATGGTTCGAAACGGCCTTGCGTTTGCGCCCATCGACAAGTAGTCGGCGCGGGCGAGAATTCATCCCGTGGGACTGCATTTGATCTGAAACCCTGCGGGTAGATGCAGCGGAGTCATTCTACCAAAGAAACGCAGCGCGAGTACGAATTTAAGACATTTCAGAAATAAAGCACGCACAATAAAAATAACAATTATTATTATTATTTCGGCCCAGAAGAACCTCGGCAAAGCAGAAAGGCAGGTATATATAGCACGCATTAAGGCCTTCGTCGCCGCGAAATTTTCCGCACGCATTAATTCAGTACGCCTATTGTAATAAACAAAATGACGTAAACCCTTAGCAGGTCCGTGTCTTTGTCTGATGATGAACTTCTCTCCATCTCATCTTCAATGTCGGAAGCACACGAAGACTCGCTCTCAGTTGGGTCGGAGCTGTCCGAGCTAGTGGTGACAGGCAGCCTGACGAGCTCTTATCCTTGCCAGTCAGAATCATCACACTCAGAGTGAGGCGAACTTTCAGCCTGCGTCTTTACGCTCTCGGTGAGTGTATGGTCTCCTGCAGCAGAGCCCGTGGAATTCGTTGACAGCGTTCACTCCACCGCAGCGCGGATGCTCGTCGCGTCCAGTCCGTCGATCAAGTTCTGCCGTGATGTAGTCTGGCTTTCATCAATGGCAGCGTTCTTTTCCTTTAGGCGGTTGTTTCAGCGAACTGGTACGTCACATGTCCCATCCCAAAGATATTGATCGTATCTCCTTTTCGGTCCCATGCCGGTTCCTTCGTAGCAGAGTGAACTGGAGCCAGGCGACACAGAAAGCACCGTGACCGTCTGTTTCGCCTGCCTTCTCTTTTTTCCCGCCAAGCAGCAGGGTTGCCAGGTTGGGCTATAAATAGCCAAATTGGGCTAGTTTTATTTGCAGTTGGCGGGAAAAGTGGTAGTTGGCTATTTGTCTAGTATTGGGCTATTTCTGACCCGTGCTGGGCATTACCAAAATGCCTCAAAGCATTTGGGTTTATACGTACAAACATTGTATTTTTGGAGTAAGTTACATAAACATTTGGCACTTCAGTCTGTTAACCCTGATAAGTATGCGACATCAAGCAAATTTGCCTGCTATTTGCGCCCCTTGTGCAATTGTTTGCCCCCAAATCTTGTCCGAATGCAAGCGTATGCTGTTATTCCTCCATGTCAACTGGGGACGGCGCAATTCCTTGCGGCCCCAACAGCCCCTGGTCTGCGCATTCTTAAGGTTGTCTGTTCTTGCGAAAGAGGATGTCGATGAAAACGCTGGAGAACATTTTGTGTGTTAAATTCGAACTGAGGGACAAAGAGCAGTGCTGCAAGGACTACGTCTCTTCAGAGGTTTTTCTGATACGTTTTCATACCGCAGTGATGTACCCGAGCTCTAAGGTTGGTTCCGCGAACTAGGGTTGCTAATGGCGTGAATATTTCTATTTGACGCATAAAAATGTTTTAATATGGCTTCTGTGTTTAAAATAATCGTTTCAAATGGTCGATTGTTTTGGCTACTTTTGGGCTATTTTTTTGTATTGACATTTGGCTATTTTTGGGCTATATCTCGTAGCAATTTGGCGGGTCAGAGTACAAACACCTGGCAACCCTGCCAAGCAGCGCTATTGTCACTATGGCTTTGCTACACTTGGCAATAGTTAAGCCAAATCAAGTCCGAACGTTTTTCTATTCGTAATACGTTTCTCAAGCATTTCTAGCCTTAGCGTCTCAATGAAAAGTTAAACAATCGTTGTGAAAAACAATATTAGTAAAAGTAAAAAAGCTCGCCCATCTTAGTAGTCGGTTTGAAAAAGAGAGAACGTTGCCGTTTCCTTCTTCGTCACGAACCTTGGGCGTCAATCACGTAACGCTTCTTTTTTCCTGTGTCATTTTTTTGTGTGTGTTACTGCGTAGCGAGACGGCAGGACTGGCGGGAAACTCGGCTTTCGCAACTGTGGGAAGTTTTGTGCGGCGTCTTTCCTTAACTTTTCTCGTGGTTTTGTCGTGTTCTGCGTGTGCAGGCCACTCGCGATGTCTCACGTGCTAGTAAGAGGGCTGCGGAGAACACGTGGGACGTCTATCCACTGCGAGCGGTTGTGGACTTCCAGATTGGGTTTTGGTTGTTAAAGGGAAGCTACGGAGCCTCTTGAAAAAAATGAGTTAGAAGAGAATTCTAGTGTATTTTTACCTCGTGAACCGCAATACCAAGACCATGTGCCGCGCAAGTATTGTTAAACGCGAGAAAAACGCGCAAGACAGTCGCTGTACGTGACGTCATCAACGGATCTTTTGGCTGCCCAAGGCTAGGGGGGCGGGGTTTCAGCCCTATTTTCAAATTGCTCTTATGTTCCTCCGGCGCGTCGCAGTGAAATATAATTGTAATATCTGTTATTGTAAAGGCCAAATGAACGCAATTCAAGCGTTTTTTCTCAAATGTAGAAGTGCCCCATCTTCCCTTTAAGCGAGGAGATCGCTCTAATGGAGCTCCGCGGCAGGATGGTCGAGATCAACTGGAAAAACGGGGAGCCGCCGCTTGCAGAGCTGCTGGATTTCGGTAAGTTAATATTCACTTTGCAGAAGTGTAATGTTTTGCGGCTGCAGTATTTCACACGTTCTACTATATGCCTTTTGGGACAACATCACTAAGGTACGGAAAGGGCGGTGGAACGCCGGCGTGGAAAACTTGCTCAGAGTGCCTCGGATCCATGCGGCGTCGAAGAGTCGACAGCCGCGCCAGCCGACTGCAGCTACAGCCTCCACCGTGGTGAGGAGAAACTAGCGCCTCAAGGCGCCAGTGGCAGAAAGGCGAACATGCGTACGGTGTGAGATGAAAATATATCGATCTAGAAAGACGGCCAGATGGCGCTACCACTGTCGTTGGCGTGCGTGCGCCGTGCACCCTCCTCTCCTCCTCCTCCCCCGCCCCCCTTTTTTTTCTTTTTTTTTTTTTCTTGCGCCGTGCATTTTTGTCGTCTGCTGGACCGGTACCGTGCTGGCCGCTCGCAGTGGCCAGCACGGCACCGGTCCAGCAGACGAGCTGCGCTTCGCGTGATATTACCAGTGCAATAATACAGAAACAGCACGTTCATTGAAATGTATTTATTATTGAACACAATTCAAATGAGTTGCGGTATTTCAGGCAAGTATTTACAAACGCCCTCCAAGGAGAACCAAGAGCTGTAGTAGGCAGTAAATGCAGTAAACGTTGTCAAATATGTAAAACGAAATTAATTACTTTAATGTACAAATTAACAGAACAACGCTTTTAATCGAATAATCTAAATGGTTTTATAAACAACTCTACAAACAAAAATGCTGAATACCCAAACAAACAAATCAACTCCAAAATAACGCGAGAGGCTTGCATTTCAAGTTAATTAAGGCAGCGTTGCAGGCGAGCTGAGTAAGAATAATCGAATAAACCATAAACAAACTCTCTAATTGGCAACGCAAAGAAAAGAAAGAAACTAATGTTTGGGGGGACTATATATCTGACTGTGGGTGCTTTTTGGTGCTCTATTCTATGATATAAACACGAAGCTGTCAAATTAACTGAAGATTGCTCTGACAGCAACTCACCTGGAGGAACAAGTTCTTGCAGCAACGGATTCGTAACAAGCACGGTGGGGCACGCGTTTTTCTGTATACGAATCTTCCCACAGATTCCAAACGCGGTAGCGCCGGCGTGCTCGCGGCACAAACGACGCTGACGCCGCTTGCTCATCAGCAGGCTTCCGAAGTCCTGGCAATTTGCATACGCAATTCATTTTGATGCTCTAATGGAAAGATTGAGAAAGATAATATATTTCAATACTTCTAGTTTTGAACGCTGACAAAATATTTGATATAGGCGCTCACCTGTCGTTTGTTGGAACCGGAAAAATGAGCACTCCAAGTCTTTTTTTTTTCTTTTAGGAAGTGTCACACCTTTTCGGCCGCGCAGTAGACTCCGTAATACGCCGTCATGAGGCACGTAACAGACTTGGCAGAATCTTTGTCAAACTAGAGACGTTTCGAATCATCTGCGCGCAGCTCCGTATTCCGTACTGCCGTAAAATTTACACTTTCGGTTTCAACACGCGCGGAACGGTTTGAAAGCTTGGAGGCTTGGAGTGACGAACGCAGACATAGGAAAGAAAAACGGTCGTTTGCCCTCGCTCTTACTGATGATTGGTCGGAAGAACCCAGAGGGTGCTCCGGTTTCGGTAGCAAGGATCCCATACACGACACCAGCGCTCAAATGCACAGCAGCGAATACATGTATAACAGTCTGGTGAGAGCAACGAGCTTGAGTAAACTTAGAGCGGTAAACCAGCAGCCGAAAATGGCACCCCCCCCGATTGCCGCCATCTTGCCTGTTTGCCACATTAGTGATCACGTGACTTAAAGATGGCTGCGCCCAGAGGTGGGTCAGATCAGATTGGCCAGATCACGGTCAGCAGATGGGCTCTCTGGGGATGTGTTCCAATCTTACTCAAATAGACCTGAGTTATTCCGGCGAATCAAGTCACGTGACAAGACAGGTTGACGCGGGTAGGTTTTTGAACGCAACGGGTACAAGACCTTTTCTCAAGAGTGAGATAGAGTAAAATTTTGAAAACGGCGACACGGCCGCCTGAATGGGAGCCACTGTAGCCGAGCCGAGCGCGAGTGTGTGCGTGTGCGAGCTGGTCGGGGGCGGCTGGTGCGGCGACGGCGACAACGGCGGTGCGAGTCGCATTGAACCGCGATGATCGTGCTGTGGGAGATTGGAAAATCTAGATGCGTGCTATGTTTGGCTAGGCAGACGATGAACAAATAGAGCCGGGTATGAACGTATGGCACAAGATCTAACCAGGTATGGGCACCGATCCGAATCGGTCGTAGTACATGTCAAACATCGCGTGGATATCTCGCATGAAAGTTTTGCATTCTCTCTGCACTCGACCTGCGGAATGTTCATTGCTCTTAAGGATAGGTACGCAGGGCATATGGAGTGTCTGCGATTGGAAGCCGAGAATGAATGCGTGAGAGGTTTTGGTGCTTTCGCGTGACTAAGGCTCGAGGATACGGTTGATCACGTCAGACGTTCCCGGCCGATTTTCTTTTACGTCCGACCCATATTAGGTTGCTATAGGTTGCCGTGCCCGTGGGGAACGGCACTGCTACCGTAAGTTCGCGCTGTGATTTGTAAGCATGGTCCTCGGAGTCCTGAGCCCTTGGCGCACACCAGGCGCCGTCTTCATATATAAGATCTCTACCGCGCATACGTCCGACGTACCTTTGAAAAAATCGGCCGAGTATGTCCAACGTATGTAAGGAATGCCTTCCGGGTACGTCCAAACTACCTTTAGACACAGCGTTAATTCTCTGCTTGCAAGGCGCCGGTAGTCGTCTGTAGGTGTCAACACGGCTGAGAATAGTGATGGAAACCAATGTCGTTGGTCAAAGTTCTCAAGACAGTGCTTACTCGCTCGCGTCGAAGCTTGTGAACGGTTACACCTGAAACCACTTTATGTCTCTTTTTTTCGGATACAGCTTTTTCCGGGATACCAGCAAGCGCTACAGCTGTTGCGCCGTCTTGTTACAGAAGGACTGGGCATCCGCAGACACAAGTGCAGTCCTTCAACCACTGCTGGTGTCAAGTGCAGGAAAATAACAAGGGGCTCACAGATTTTTTACAGAGCAGCCGAGACAGCATAATGCTGGATTGTAACTCTGTTGTTACAGTGTCTTTCACCAAGCACAGCTGTTCCGGGGACGGCCACGTGCTGTCTTTTTGCCTGTTTGCTACGGTCGACACGGTGGAGGCAGGTCGTGACATTGCACGGACGGCTGGACACCGAAGCGACGCAGGCTGACCATCAACCTTCTCAAGGGTGACCCATCTTCAGCCTCCTGAGTACGCTGAAGGCATCATACTCACCTAGGTCTGGTGCCATTGCAGCAAAGCACTTCTGCGCTTCACGAGGCATGCTTGCTTCTCTTTTTATGACTTCCTCTCGGGGCTCTGTCAGCATCTTCTTTGACTCTTGCTTTTGTTCGAGCGGTCATTTGGATCGTGAGAGAAAATAGTCTGCAGGGACTGCTGTCCCTGTCCAATATAGTGCCTTTAGCTTTCAGTGACGTCTTTCAGAAGCGACTACTAACAAAAGTCTCCGCACTTTCTCTACACTGGCATGGATCGAAAGCATCCTTACATATATGTCACTCCAGAGGCACTCCTGTAGCTTCTGGCGTACCAGAAAGACATCTAGTTGAACCATTGCTCCCTTTTGTGATTTTTTTTTTAAAAACTTGCCCTATCCTTGTCTTTTAGTGTTTTTCTTTTCTTCTTATGTCTGTGTCATTTACAGAGTCATATCAACCACACAAAACTTAATGTAACTGAAAGTTATGTAGACCTAAGTAATGGTTAGTTACACATCAAAATATCTGCCGACATTTGTTCACTGCTTACTCCATTAGCATGCTGCCTGCGATGCGTCTCCGACTGGTGTGTTTACCGATTCTGAAAAAGTGGTCCCTCAATTTCCTCTCGGTGACGTCATACAAGCGTCATGCTGTTGCTGGCCGCAATCCTGGCAGTGTCACAGCAGCGCGGGTGAACGTGACGGACGCCTGTTTTGCTGCAGGTCGCTCTTCAGTGTTGCAGTCCACGGAAGTTTTGGCAGCTAGAAGTTGGGACGCCCTGACGACAGCGACACTCGTGTTCGGTTGTTCTACTCGCAGCCTTTTCGTTAGCATTTCTACGACCAACCGCCAGAATCACGACATGCAACAGCATGACACTTTGGCTTCTGTGACGTCATTTTTTGCCACTTTGGGACCACTTTTGATGTATGGGCAGCATAGGACGCTAAACACACCGGTTGGAAACACGCTACGGACACCATACTATATATAACCTTGACATGGAATCTGTCTTGCACTGTGAATGTCTTGTACATTTCTCTCGCTACCTTCTCTGGAATGCCGTTTTCTGATTCAAAGCGCATCCTTGATTTCTTATGCTGTAACCTCCGTCTGGTTTTTTCATCTGTCAACTGCCTTGCTTATGTTGAAATAGTGCGACCAAAACTAGAATATGCGTCCTCGGCGTGGGAGCCACATGTTAAATGTCTCTCATCCAATTTCAGGGGTGGATGCAGGAATTTCCTGAGGAGGGGGGGGGGGGGGGGTCAGGTGTTGGTCAGCATACCATATCTTTAGGAACCCCCTCCCCCTCTCCCTCGTTTCACGCCCTAAATTTTACGCATGCAGAAATCAAGAAGGGGGGGGGGGTCAGGATATCCGGACCCCCCCTCTAAATCCGCCCCTGCCCAATCCGGATTTGGTTCAGAATCGGGCTAGTACTCGCTTTATTCTACATTTTAGGTTTGGTAGCATCACTGAACTTAAATGCAACTTAAATGCAGTTTTTTTTTCAAACTCACCTGTGTTCATATAGGCATATTAGTAAACTTTGTCTCCATCATAGGTTTTAATTCCTGCATGATTTATTCATCTTGCAACCGCATCGGATATTCCCTCGCATTGATCACTGTTCCTCTCAACAGGCCTGTCGACTTTAATGGCCTGTCTGAAGCCACTGTTTCCCTCCAAGACATTGACTCCTTTCGTGACATATTAAGCTCAATATTTTATTAAATCACTCCATTATGCAATACCCTAACCCCAGGGCTCTTAGGATACTTAAAATAAATAAACAAAATGAAAAAAGTCGGTAAATGGAAAGAAACTGGACGATTCTTGTCGTGAGAAGCCAAGTCTTTTGATATGTGGCGCCAAGTCTTCATAAATGGTGTTTTGCAAACAGAAGCCAGGCTCAGATGGCAAATGTAGCACAGGTTTAGTTATTGTCCACGAAAGAGCACGAGCTTGTTGAAGTATTGCCGGACGGGCACTCCCCTTTCCTCGGCACTTTGCTGCCGGCACATGTGGTGAATCCTCAGCTGAAAGTAGTGTGCCAGCATCTTCTTGAGCATGACAGAGAAGTGAGATTGATTGTCAATTGTTTGTGCAACAAACAGGTGGTCGAACCTCTTGAAGGATGGTGACAAGGAGACAATACTCAATGTCTCGGTTTGCAGCCTGAGAAGCCAGTTCCGCCCTCCCTTGGCCACTGTGTCGAAGTTTCTGCGAAGCACCTTCTCGGCAGTGGTGCAGAGATGCAGAATGTCTGGGGATGGACTGTGGAGACCGCCCTTGTCCTTGACACGCACCAGGTAACATTTGTCAGTGGTGAGAAGTGCAATCCTTGCACAGTCCGGGCATTTTGCGTCTTTTGCAAAGTGAACGGCCACATTGCCCGCAATGTATTGTACAATGCTCTCGGCAAACTCCGAGAGAGGCTTGTATCCTATAACCCAGGTGGCGTCGGCGTCGTCCTGGCTTGTGTCAGCTGTCGGGTCTTGCTGGCGCTTGTCCGACGAGCTCAAAAGGAGCGTCTCCGTGCCGTCGACCTGACAGTTGCCACGGCTCGAGGGCAGCACATTCGCGATGAGGCACTTCCTGTACGCCGAGCGAAATTCGAGGGCCGTAGGATTGTTGTTGTTGCCCGTTCAGTTTCTGATTGTTGCAAAGAACAATTCGAGGTGGTCTTGACTTAGCTTGCGCGTCAGCAGGCACTTGAGCAAAGGACTGCTGCTCCAAACGAGGTCTTCAGCCAGACCCTTGATGGACTGGAGGGCCAACAGAAATCCAACAATGGCGGTCTTTCTTGGACCTTGGATCAGGGGTCTGCCCGTGGTATCCTTTAGGCCTCTGAGATAGCGCGAGGCTTTGTCAATCCTTGTCAAGATTGTCTCCTTGTTGTTGACGCGAATGGGGGCCTTGCTGCCAAGAGCGAGAGGGTGGCAGGAATTGGTGAGGTCAAACGTGTCGTCCACTACTGCTGCAAACTCGGCAGTGGCCTCCACACCCTCAAAGCCGGGGATCTGCTTTTCCTTGCAGAACAACAAGGCGCAGCTGACGGAGCGGCTTAACGTCTGTGCCGCCAACGACACCTTCATCTTCTGTTGGTGGAAATTGATGTGCCGTCTCCGAAGTTTGTTCCCGGCGTGTAGGCCTTCCTTTTGTTGTAGGCGATCCAAACACATTATGTAATGCCAGGCAACAGTCCTACCCGCACCATCCCTGATGAGCTCCTTTTCAGCCAGCAGGTTTCGCATGAGCTTCAATATGTGGCATGCGTCTAAGATTGCATACACCCTTCTTGACGGGTCGGAGGGGTGAGGGAACCAGCTCTTCATTCTTGGTTCCGCCAGGCTTACGCCAAGCGCTGAGAGCATGGATAGATTGCAGCTTGTGCCGTCGCACGTCACAGAGATGCAGTCGGCACCAGCCTCCTTCAATTTTATCAGGTATTGCTGGACCAAATTGGACCGAACAGTGCCGTCGAGTCCATCAATCAGGGCATATCCCAGAGGTAGCTTCCAGTTGCGGTTAACGGCAACTGCCAGGAAAACAAGCGCGTGCTTCGCATATGCAATGCAGTCGTCTTTGAGGATGCCATGGCCCAGGTCGCAGTAGCCTACAACTTCCTTGCCGTCCCAGTCCGCTTGTTTCTTTATACTAATCTCATCTACCATAAGGCTGATGAGGAGAGGTCCTTTCTGAGCTTCGTGGGAAACTTTTTCGAAGCACTCCTTTGTGAAGCCCGGCTTCGCACCAATCACGGCTGCCCATTTCCGAAGTGCGCTGGGGTGAGGCAGTTTCACATGTTGGCGCAGAAATTTGTAAGCTTTGGCCGAATAGAAATGCAGTGTCAAGGCAAACTTGCGCACATCTTCCGAGTAGCTGTTGTTTGCCTTTCCTGTTTTTTTCAGCACAATGTCTCGCAGTGTGCCACTGAAGATGTTGTCCAGGATGGCTACCGCTGGTTGAGGTAGCTGTGCCCTGAGTTTCTTCAGCAGCGCATTGAGTTTTTTTATCTTCATTCCTTTCCGGTTCGCCTTTCTTTTTGCTTGTCTTAGGATCTTCTTGGCTTTTCGCAGCTTGCGCTTGCTGGCAGCTAGAAGCATCCTGTCCCGTCGTGGAGACACAACTGTGTACGTGTGGTCGCCAGAGCAGGTGGCCGGCCGTGAGGATGGAGCTTCGGGGCTGCTTGACGCTGCTTGAGAATCTGCTGTGGATGGGGCGTGTGGAGAGGGAAAGTCAGTCTGGCGGGACCGTTGAGATCGGACCACTTGGGAGGTGGAGGGAAAGTCAGTTCGGGGGTGTTGTTGAGGTCTGTCCGTTTGAGGGTTGAACAGTGTGGGCACTGCTCCTTGTTTGAGGTTAGTCTTGCCAACAAGCCTGTGGAAGCAGTCATTTTCGAAGTGCTCTGAACACAGCTTGGAGAACTTGGTGGGAGTCCAGTGTATGCATTCCATTTTCTGCAGCCATGCCTGGAGGAGTTCTGGATGTCTCAGTGGAAATCTGCGGGAGACAACGAGGTCGGACTGTCAAAACACCGAAACAATGCTGTCTTTCAATAAAGCAAATACATATTTGTGCATTTCTAATTATTGTTTGTGTGCATTTTATTATAGAAAAATATGCTTATTCTAAACTACCCCTTCTGCCTCATTTATATGCCACTAATATTTAAGTTTCTGAAACATTTGTTGCAAGTATGACGAGCAGGTAATTTGAAATGTTTCAAACCCAATTTGGAGTAGTTTAGATAATGTGCTTCAACCACAGAGCAACTTTCAAATATGTGCGGTTGTCCTACATAAATGTGCCCAAAACTGCAAGTTTAGATCCAATGATTGCGCTTGCTTGCCTATCGCATATTTAACTGTATTATAATGATGCGACTTAATTATGCCGAAATGCGGGCTAAGGTTCGTAAAGATCGCAACGCAGTTGGAAAGAGTTGACCGCAGTAATTTGAGAGTTAGTGGAAAGCTTACCCGTGGAACGTTATTGCCGAGTCCTTCTTGTACCTGTTAGTACAGTTAGGAGCCGCGCACGAATGCGGCATAGCTTTTAGAGTTCAAATCAACTTAGAAATAAAATGGCAAAGGAATCGGACACGACGAGCTGACAGCCTCTGAACCACAGGAATATGCGCAGTCGTCTGCTATCTTTTGGCCGCAAATTCAAACGAAGCTTGAATGAAGTCAATGTTGTAGATTACTTTATTACATCAGTTATAAGCACTAAAAAACTGTGCCACTTTGTCAACATTGCAGTTATAACCAAAATCACACAAAAAATTGCGCGCCAAAATTGTCGTCTGCTACTTTTTGCGCGCCCTAGCTGCTGCTGTTCAATTCCATGAAATGCTCAAACCGGCATCTTCCAGCGATAATACGAAATCGGCATACACATATCAAGCAACAAATAGGAATTTCCGTTCTCAGTAGCATGCATTAATACAAACCCCCTTGACAACGGTGCACATTTCAACACTGCACTGTGGTGGAAGCATCTTGCAGGCACGCAAGTATGATTTCAAACATATCACTTCGATAGTCTATTGTCTAATGCATGCTACTGAGAACGGAAATTCCTATTAGTTGCTTGATATGTGTATGCCGATTTCGTATTATCGCTGGAAGATGCCGGTTTGGGCATTTCATGGAATTGAACAGCAGCAGCTAGGGCGCGCAAAAAGTAGCAGACGACAATTTTGGCGCGCAATTTTTTGTGTGATTTTGGTTATAACTGCAATGTTGACAAAGTGGCACAGTTTTTTAGTGCTTATAACTGATGTAATAAAGTAATCTACAACATTGACTTCAATCAAGCTTCGTTTGAATTTGCGGCCAAAAGATAGCAGACGACTGCGCATATTCCTGTGGTTCAGAGGCTGTCAGCTCGTCGTGTCCGATTCCTTTGCCATTTTATTTCTAAGTTGATTTGAACTCTAAAAGCTATGCCGCATTCGTGCGCGGCTCCTAACTGTACTAACAGGTACAAGAAGGACTCGGCAATAACGTTCCACGGGTAAGCTTTCCACTAACTCTCAAATTACTGCGGTCAACTCTTTCCAACTGCGTTGCGATCTTTACGAACCTTAGCCCGCATTTCGGCGTAATTAAGTCGCATCATTATAATACAGTTAAATATGCGATAGGCAAGCAAGCGCAATCATTGGATCTAAACTTGCAGTTTTGGGCACATTTATGTAGGACAACCGCACATATTTGAAAGTTGCTCTGTGGTTGAAGCACATTATCTAAACTACTCCAAATTGGGTTTGAAACATTTCAAATTACCTGCTCGTCATACTTGCAACAAATGTTTCAGAAACTTCAAATATTAGTGGCATATAAATGAGGCAGAGGGGTAGTTTAGAATAAGCATATTTTTCTATAATAAAATGCACACAAACAATAATTAGAAATGCACAAATATGTATTTGCTTTATTGAAAGACAGCATTGTTTCGGTGTTTTGACAGTCCGACCTCGTTGTCTCCCGCAGATTTCCACTGAGACATCCAGAACTCCTCCAGGCATGGCTGCAGAAAATGGAATGCATACACTGAACTCCCACCAAGTTCTCCAAGCTGTGTTCAGAGCACTTCGAAAATGACTGCTTCCACAGGCTTGTTGGCAAGACTAACCTCAAACAAGGAGCAGTGCCCACACTGTTCACCCCTCAAACGGACAGACCTCAACAACACCCCCGAACTGACTTTCCCTCCACCTCCCAAGTGGTCCGATCTCAACGGTCCCGCCAGACTGACTTTCCCTCTCCACACGCCCCATCCACAGCAGATTCTCAAGCAGCGTCAAGCAGCCCCGAAGCTCCATCCTCACGGCCGGCCACCTGCTCTGGCGACCACAGCTACACAGTTGTGTCTCCACGACGGGACAGGATGCTTCTAGCTGCCAGCAAGCGCAAGCTGCGAAAAGCCAAGAAGATCCTAAGACAAGCAAAAAGAAAGGCGAACCGGAAGGGAATGAAGATAAAAAAACTCAATGCGCTGCTGAAGAAACTCAGGGCACAGCTACCTCAACCAGCGGTAGCCATCCTGGACAACATCTTCAGTGGCACACTGCGAGACATTGTGCTGAAAAAAACAGGAAAGGCAAACAACAGCTACTCGGAAGATGTGCGCAAGTTTGCCTTGACACTGCATTTCTATTCGGCCAAAGCTTACAAATTTCTGCGCAAACATGTGAAACTGCCTCACCCCAGCGCACTTCGGAAATGGGCAGCCGTGATTGGTGCGAAGCCGGGCTTCACAAAGGAGTGCTTCGAAAAAGTTTCCCACGAAGCTCAGAAAGGACCTCTCCTCATCAGCCTTATGGTAGATGAGATTAGTATAAAGAAACAAGCGGACTGGGACGGCAAGGAAGGTGTAGGCTACTGCGACCTGGGCCATGGCATCGTGAAAGACGACTGCATTGCATATGCGAAGCACGCGCTTGTTTTCCTGGCAGTTGCCGTCAACCGCAACTGGAAGCTACCTTTGGGATATGCCCTGATTGATGGACTCGACGGCACTGTTCGGTCCAATTTGGTCCAGCAATACCTGATAAAATTGAAGGAGGCTGGTGCCGACTGCATCTCTGTGACTGCGACGGCACAAGCTGCAATCTATCCATGCTCTCAGCGCTTGGCGTAAGCCTGGCGGAACCAAGAATGAAGAGCTGGTTCCCTCACCCCTCCGACCCGTCAAGAAGGGTGTATGCAATCTTAGACGCATGCCACATGTTGAAGCTCATGCGAAACCTGCTGGCTGAAAAGGAGCTCATCAGGGATGGTGCGGGTAGGACTGTTGCCTGGCATTACATAATGTGTTTGGATCACCTACAACAAAAGGAAGGCCTACACGCCGGGAACAAACTTCGGAGACGGCACATTGATTTCCACCAACAGAAGATGAAGGTGTCGTTGGCGGCACAGACGTTAAGCCGCTCCGTCAGCTGCGCCTTGTTGTTCTGCAAGGAAAAGCAGATCCCCGGCTTTGAGGGTGTGGAGGCCACTGCCGAGTTTGCAGCAGTAGTGGACGACACGTTTGACCTCACCAATTCCTGCCACCCTCTCGCTCTTTGCAGCAAGGCCCCCATTCGCGTCAACAACAAGGAGACAATCTTGACAAGGATTGACAAAGCCTCGCGCTATCTCAGAGGCCTAAAGGATACCACGGGCAGACCCCTGATCCAAGGTCCAAGAAAGACCGCCATTGTTGGATTTCTGTTGGCCCTCCAGTCCATCAAGGGTCTGGCTGAAGACCTCGTTTGGAGCAGCAGTCCTTTGCTCAAGTGCCTGCTGACACGCAAGCTAAGTCAAGACCACCTCGAATTGTTCTTTGCAACAATCAGGAACAGAACGGGCAACAACAACAATCCTGCGGCCCTCGAATTTCGCTCGGCGTACAGGAAGTGCCTCATCGCGAATGTGCTGCCCTCGAGCCGTGGCAACTGTCAGGTCGACGGCACGGAGACGCTCCTTTTGAGCTCGTCGGACAAGCGCCAGCAAGACCCGACAGCTGACACAAGCCAGGACGACGCCGACGCCACCTGGGTTATAGGATACAAGCCTCTCTCGGAGTTTGCCGAGAGCATTGTACAATACATTGCGGGCAATGTGGCCGTTCACTTTGCAAAAGACGCAAAATGCCCGGACTGTGCAAGGATTGCACTTCTCACCACTGACAAATGTGACCTGGTGCGTGTCAAGGAAAAGGGCGGTCTCCACAGTCCATCCCCAGACATTCTGCATCTCTGCACCACTGCCGAGAAGGTGCTTCGCAGAAACTTCGACACAGTGGTCAAGGGAGGGCGGAACTGGCTTCTCAGGCTGCAAACCGAGACATTGAGTATTGTCTCCTTGTCACCATCCTTCAAGAGGTTCGACCACCTGTTTGTTGCACAAACAATTGACAATCAATCTCACTTCTCTGTCATGCTCAAGAAGATGCTGGCACACTACTTTCAGCTGAGGATTCACCACATGTGCCGGCAGCAAAGTGCCGAGGAAAGGGGAGTGCCCGTCCGGCAATACTTCAACAAGCTCGTGCTCTTTCGTGGACAATAACTAAACCTGTGCTACATTTGCCATCTGAGCCTGGCTTCTGTTTGCAAAACACCATTTATGAAGACTTGGCGCCACATATCAAAAGACGGCTTCTCACGACAAGAATCGTCCAGTTTCTTTCCAACTACCGACTTTTTTCATTTTGATTATTTATTTTAAGTATCCTAAGAGCCCTGGGGTTAGGGTATTGCATAATGGAGTGATTTAATAAAATATTGAGCTTAATATGTCACGAAAGGAGTCAATGTCTTGGAGGGAAACAGTGGCTTCAGACAGGCCATTAAAGTCGACAGGCCTGTTGAGAGGAACAGTGATCAATGCGAGGGAATATCCGATGCGGTGGCAAGATGAATAAATCATGCAGGAATTAAAACCTATGATGGAGACAAAGTTTACTAATATGCCTATATGAACACAGGGGAGTTTGAAAAAAAAACTGCATTTAAGTTGCATTTAAGTTCAGTGATGCTACCAAACCTAAAATGTAGAACAAAGCGAGTACTAGCCCGATTCTGAACCAAATCCGGATTGGGCAGGGGCGGATTTAGAGGGGGGGTCCGGATATCCTTCTTGATTTCTGCATGCGTAAAATTTAGGGCGTGAAATGAGGGAGAGGGGGAGGGGGTTCCTAAAGATATGGTACGCTGACCAACACCTGACCCCCCCCCCCCCTCCTCAGGAAATTCCTGCATCCACCCCTGAAATTGGATGAGAGACATTTAACATGCGGCTCCCACGCCGAGGACGCATATTCTAGTTTTGGTCGCACTATTTCAACATAAGCAAGGCAGTTGACAGATGAAAAAGCCAGACGGAGGTTACAGCATAAGAAATCAAGGATGCGCTTTGAATCAGAAAACGGCATTCCAGAGAAGGTAGCGAGAGAAATGAACAAGACATTCACAGCGCAAGACAGATTCCATGTCAAGGTTATATATAGTATGGTGTCCGTAGCGTGTTTCCAACCGGTGTGTTTAGCGTCCTATGCTGCCCATACATCAAAAGTGGTCCCAAAGTGGCAACAAATGACGTCACAGAAGCCAAAGTGTCATGCTGTTGCATGTCGTGATTCTGGCGGTTGGTCGTAGAAATGCTAACGAAAAGGCTGCGAGTAGAACAACCGAACACGAGTGTCGCTGTCGTCAGGGCGTCCCAACTTCTAGCTGCCAAAACTTCCGTGGACTGCAACACTGAAGAGCGACCTGCAGCAAAACAGGCGTCCGTCACGTTCACCCGCGCTGCTGTGACACTGCCAGGATTGCGGCCGGCAACACCATGACGCTTGTATGACGTCACCGAGAGGAAATTGAGGGACCACTTTTTCAGAATCGGTAAACACACCAGTCGGAGACGCATCGCAGGCAGCATGCTAATGGAGTAAGCAGTGAACAAATGTCGGCAGATATTTTGATGTGTAACTAACCATTACTTAGGTCTACATAACTTTCAAAGTTACATTAAGTTTTGTGTGGTTGATATGACTCTGTAAATGACACAGACATAAGAAGAAAAGAAAAACACTAAAAGACAAGGATAGGGCAAGTTTTTTAAAAAAAAATCACAAAAGGGAGCAATGGTTCAACTAGATGTCTTTCTGGTGCGTCAGAAGCTACAGGAGTGCCTCTGGAGTGACATATGTGTAAGGATGCTTTCAATCTATGCCAATGTGGAGAAAGTGCGGAGACTTTTGTTAGTAGTCGCTTCTGAAAGACGTCACTGAAAGCTAAAGGCACTATATTGGACATGGACAGCAGTCCCTGCAGAATATTTTCTCTCACGATCCAAATGACCGCTTGAACAAAAGCAAGAGTCAAAGAAGATGCTGACAGAGCCCCGAGAGAAAGTCATAAAAAGAGAAGCAAGCATGCCTCGTGAAGCGCAGAAGTGCTTTGCTGCAATGGCACCAGACCTAGGTGAGTATGATGCCTTCAGCGTACTCAGGAGGTTGAAGATGGGTCACCCTTGAGAAGGTTGATGGTCAGCCTGCGTCGCTTCGGTATCCAGCCGTCCGTGCAATGTCACGACCTGCCTCCACCGTGTCGACCGTAGCAAACAGGCAAAAAGACAGCACGTGGCCGTCCCCGGAACAGCTGTGCTTGGTGAAAGACACTGTAACAACAGATTTACAATCCAGCATTATGCTGTCTCGGCTGCTCTGTAAAAAATCTGTGAGCCCCTTGTTATTTTCCTGCACTTGACACCAGCTGTGGTTGAAGGACTGCACTTGTGTCTCCGGATGCCCAGTCCTTCTGTAACAAGACGGCGCAACAGCTGTAGCGCTTGCTGGTATCCCGGAAAAAGCTGTATCCGAAAAAAAGAGACAAAGTGGTTTCAGGTGTAACCGTTCACAAGCTTCGACGCGAGCGAGTAAGCACTGTCTTGAGAACTTTGACCAACGACATTGGTTTCCATCAACTATTCTCAGCCGTGTTGACACCTACAGACGACTACCGGCGCCTTGCAAGCAGAGAATTAACGCTGTGTCTAAAGGTAGTTTGGACGTACCCGGAAGGCATTCCTTACATACGTTGGACATACTCGGCCGATTTTTTCAAAGGTACGTCGGACGTATGCGCGGTAGAGATCTTATATATGAAGACGGCGCCTGGTGTGCGCCGAGGGCTCAGGACTCCGAGGACCATGCTTACAAATCACAGCGCGAACTTACGGTAGCAGTGCCGTTCCCCACGGGCACGGCAACCTATAGCAACCTAATATGGGTCGGACGTAAAAGAAAATCGGCCGGGAACGTCTGACGTGATCAACCGTATCCTTGAGCCTTAGTCACGCGAAAGCACCAAAACCTCTCACGCATTCATTCTCGGCTTCCAATCGCAGACACTCCATATGCCCTGCGTACCTATCCTTAAAGCGTGTTTCACATGCAGCGGTTTTGGCCCTAGAGCGGCGCGATTTCTGCCGTCGCGGCGCTCGTGCCGCAGAATTGCTGGTGCTGGCCAGAGCGCCGCGACGGCAGAAATCGCGCCGCTCTAGGGCCAAAACCGCTGCATGTGAACTAGGCTTAAGAGCAATGAACATTCCGCAGGTCGAGTGCAGAGAGAATGCAAAACTTTCATGCGAGATATCTACGCGATGTTTGACATGTACTACGACCGATTCGGATCGGTGCCCATACCTGGTTAGATCTTGTGCCATACGTTCATACCCGGCTCTATTTGTTCATCGTCTGCCTAGCCAAACATAGCACGCATGGAGATTTTCCAATCTCCCACAGCACGATCATCGCGGTTCAATGCGACTCGCACCGCCGTTGCCGCCGTCGCCGCACCAGCCGCCCCCGATCAGCTCGCACACGCACACACTCGCGCTCGGCTCGGCTACAGTGGCTCACATTCAGGCGGCCGTGTCGCCGTGTTCCAAAATTTACTCTATCTCACTCTTGGGAAAAGGTCTTGTACCCGTTGCGTTCAAAAACCTACCCGCGTCAACCTGTCTTGTCACGTGACTTGATTCGCCGGAATAACTCGGGTCTATTTGAGTAAGATTGGAACACATCCCCAGAGAGCCCATCTGCTGACCGTGATCTGGCCAACCTGATCTGACCCACCTCTGGGCACAGTCATCTTTAAGTCACGTGATCACTAATGTGGCAAACAGGCAAGATGGCGGCAATCGGGGGGGGTGCCATTTCCGCTGCAGGCAGTGGGTTCCGGTTTACCGCTCTAAGGTAATACTCAAGCTCGTTGGGTGAGAGGCGGTTGGATGGACGTACGTGAGAGAAGCCAGCGACACGGCGCCAACTATCGGTCCAACCGGGAACTCCGTTAGCTACATTCGGCTGGCCGTGCAACAGCCTCCAAAGAAGCACAAGGTAAGTCGTTAGTTGTGCGTTTACCACGGGCTTGGTCGTGCTTTTAAAGAATCACCTGCGTCGTCTCACCGATGCGTGTCTACTGATTTATACCTGAAGCTGCCTTTGCTGTGATTACAAACACTTGAATAACAAAGTAGATTAGGCAAACAATGTTTCCGAAGACTTGCGGTGGCGAAATGACAAATCGCCGACAAAATCGTGAGCCAACTATTTTCGGGCGTCCGATGCCTTTGAATGTCGGGAGCCATGTTGCTGCCCCGTCTCGTCCGTGGCGTAAGGCGCCGCCGGGGCGGTCTGCACGTGCCATCTATCGCTCGTGTAGGGGTCCCCGGCGACGTCGGGCGGCGCGTTCGAGGCGGGTCATTTACTTTTTGCGACTACTAATTCGGCCTTATTAGTTACGCTTAAAGTTTTCTTCTGCCGAGGCTTTGGGCCTGTGTGCTTAATCGCAGCGCCGGTGCGCGTGCGCGCGCGCTTGGGGATCCGCCAAGAACGCGCACTGATGGGCGACGGTGTCCTTGCGGTCGTCTCGGCTACGCGTTATGGTGAGACGGACGGGAGACACGGTGCAGTGCGCTCGGGGCATCGTTCGCGCGCGGGGCTGCCTGTAGTCGTCAGGGCCTCGCCGGGCGCCCCCGTTCTCGGGTGGGCCTGCTTCAGGGGTGGGAGGTTGTAGATGCTGCTGGTCTCCGTGCCCTGCGCTTGTTGTTTTTCTTGTGTGTGGCGCGGGAACACGCGGAAATTCGCGGCCTCCCTTGGTAGACACGGCGGCATTCTGGAGGCGAACAGATCGATTGAAATTCAATCTTAACGAACCCCTTCTTTTTCTTCCTACCCTACCCCTTTTATCGCGCTTCCCTTCCCCCAAAGGAACACATGGCGTCTTTCACCTACTGGCAAGGGCGCCGCGTAAAACCATTTGATTTCCCTTTCAAGTAACGCATAACGAAACGTCCCATGTTGGTATTGGGCTCTTATTCAGCGTTAGTTCAAATGGCGACAGCTTTGCTGTTCGGACATTGGGGACTGCAACTGAATGATATAATTGGTTCAGGAGGGCGGTGCATCATTGGCTGCAGTGTTAACTATATTTTTACTGCGCTTCATCCTCGATTTCTAGTGGGAGTTTGTTTGCAGAGAAGCAGTCTGCGTGCGCCGCTGTCTTTTGTCGCGCTTGCTTTCGGTTTGCCTGCCGCCTCTCCGGATTGGATTTCGATCCGGTTCAACGGTCTAAACCTGAGCCCCCTCACCGGATAAAAGACATCCTGACTACGAGCCTGGTTCTGAAAACCGTGTGTTCCACGACAATCGTGTGCTACTCCTTTCGTCACGGACAGTCCTTCGTCTCACATTCCGCATGAAACCCTAGCCATAAAACAGATTCTGTGTTTATAAAACCAATACGTTTTCTGCAGAATGAGATGATGTCAGACGTTTTGATGGCACTGAAAGACCATTTTTTCTTGTGGGCCGTTAGGGCTTTGAATGTAATAAATCAAGATCAGTTGTTCTCCTCTCACTTTTTTTATCTTTAAATCAAATATGCAAGTTACCTGCAAGAACGTTTTTTCTCAGGGGCCTGAAAAAGGGTTTGCTCCATCTTGGTTCGTAGAAGGATTATGTTCATTTGCAACTTTTCATTGGGGAACGTTTTTCTTCAGTTTTTTCTAAAGAACATATCCGCCACTCAACTAGACCTTCGCGATTAATTATAGCGCCCCATAACATTTTATTCCAACTGATCTAAGTACATATGTCTAGCGTGGTATAAATGCAGGTAATAAAGATTTCTTTTCCTCTTTTTGTCTTGCCACATGAGTGCGGAGCGAACGCTGAAGGCATCCTTAAGCGTTCTTCCCCCCTTCCAGCCGGCCCCCACAAAAAAGGAAGTCCATTTAAGGCTGCCCTTCCGATGGCCCCGCACAACCGGTTTGCTGCCTCCTTTTGTTTTCAGTTTAATAGTAAAAAACGAAGTATTACCTCAGGCTTGGCTATTCACTTCTTATATCGGAGTGGCATGCATGAAGGACTTTTTTAAATACTTAGCACTGCCAGTGAATTAAGTTGGACCCATGAAAAGGTGAAGTTGGAATTCGGTTTGATGCACGTTTCAAAATATTGAAACAGCGTAACATATATGGCTTAAGCTTTTTTTTATTTGAGTGCCTTGTACTAAAATATGCAGATCTCATGATTTTCAGGTCTACAGAAGGTCACAAGAATAACTGGCTTTATACCTCAAAGATTCTGCAGTTGTGCGTGAAACATGCAATAAATAACTAGGCTGATAAAGATGCCTTTGTAGGGTACATCACGATGCAACTGTGACGCTCTATAATGAGAGGTGGAGGAACTTCAGGCCCAAGTTCAGGTCCTAGAGGAGAAGCTGTCCGTGGCTGAGAACAACTATGGTAACCGACATTTGTTTTGCGAAACACTTTCAGTCCTTTTGAACTATAGAGAAAAGTAGTCGTTCAAGTAGTCTAATAAGGATTAATATTTTCCGCTTTCCAAATTTGGCCAAATTTTTCCACTTGCCGAATTGTAGATTTGTGACGACATGTTGCTGCAGCCAAACAAATACTGCTGCTGGTTTAGTGAAGGAAAGGTCAACATAAACATTTTCTACTGGGTCATAATAATTAAACCGGAAGCAAGATACAAATGTGTATAACTTGATCAGTAGCATGTTAGTTGCAGATAGCGTAAACACAGTAACTTTAATGCTCTTTAGCTATGCAAATGATGGCTTTCGGCGTCAAAGTGATTCATATCGAACAACCAGTGCTGTGCTTTCAAGTAGTTTAGCAAAATTATATCAAACATACCCATACAGTAGAAGCTACATCTGAGTGGCTAAGCCTACCTTTGTGTTTTGCACATCATAACGAATTGTATAACAATGTGGTGCCAGGGTGAGGTACATATTTAAAAACCGGGCTCACAGCTACGTGCATGGCTGCATCGCTATGTGTTTCAGCTCGGAGGATACTAGAAGAAACAATGACAACCATATTTTCTTAGGTAATTAGCTAAAACGTGTTAGTTAATCTTTTAAATATTGCTTTTATGGTACATACTGCAAGTGCAATTTTAAATACATATGTCAT